ACATTGCATGTGTACCTAGTTGCAGTTGGATCAGGCGCCAGCCCATGCGCCCGGAGCTAACCCAGGCAGCCACCACAGGGTTTGACAAGGTGTCCTTGTGTAGATTGGCATGCCTTCTCAATTTTCGGTGCTCGGTGTCGCCCCTCTTTCCAGGAAGCATGCCGGTGACTGTGAAGAGACTAGTGGGCTGCGACCCAACATGCTGCATGGACATCGCATGAACATCACCGCCAACTGCAGGACGGCAGACATCGCAGAAGGACGGCCTGAAGTTGGCAATCTGAGCTAGAGACCTAGAGACCCCTGTTCCCTGATGCTCGGCTGAAGCTCGAGCTTCGAAGAGTTGCTCCGTAAGAGTTGCTCCGTGCTTCTGGAAGCTCTGTCGGGGAAGCTGGCGCTGACGTATCAGCATGTCCACGATCGCCCCTGACACGCCTCTACCTAGCCACCCGCGCTCCCCTCCTCCCCCCTCAGAGACTGCCTCATCGAGAGCCTCGGCTTAAAACTGTGTGTCCTATAATAATTCCTCGCACAGCTTTGATTTGGTCGATTGCCTAGACGAGCTTTTTATGAAACCGCATCAAAAGCATCACCAGGGGACCCGTTTGATCTTGGCTCTCCCCTGGAGAGTTCCCGAGCCCTTCCAGGACAAGAGCCAGCTCAAGAAGGCTCCGAGCCACGAAGGGGCCGGGCAAAGGCGCTGCTCAGACTCTTTTTGAGTTTTGGGACTCTGCGGAGGCGCTTCGCAACCGCGGCGGTGCTGCGGAGGCCCACCTCCGCGATCCTCCGCGCTTCCGCTCGCTTCCGCCTCGCTTCCGCCTCGCTTCCGCTTCGCTACAGGTGAATTCCAACAACGGAGCCGGAGTCCGAGGAGTCCGAGCGGAAGGTGGCTTCGGCCCTGGCCCCGCGCCGCCCAGTGCGACTGCCACGCTTCTGTCGCTGAATTCGCAAGGTACGGTCCGAGGCAAGTTTGTGCATGGAGGGCGCATGTCCGAGTCATGAATGGCTTATTAAGGAAATCTGTTGCTGGAGCGCCAGGCATCAGCAAAGACACCAAGGAAGCCCCTTTGAAGGCGGTGAGCGCTACTAGCAGCTGTCAGTCGCAGAGAATCTGAGTAGAGTAGAGGCGAAGATGTTGAGCCTCGCAGGGCCGAAGCTCCGATGGAACCTCCCGGGAGAGGCGCGAGCTCTCCTCTCCCTTCAAACGTGGAACCCAGTGGCTGCAACGCTGCTTTTGTCCATGTGCACGAAGCAACTGCCTGGTGTTGGGCCGCTGCTGGGCTGTGATTTGTGCTACCACGATTTGGGAACTCTAACAGCGATTCGCGTTCTCTGGTTAATTCAGGGTGCAGGATGTAAGCTGCGCCTGAGGTTTTCGGGTATGCAGATCCTGAGGCCCTGCTTCGGGGTCTTCGCTAGAAAAGCGCCGTCTTCGCAGTCGTCGCCCTATCGGCTCTGTGAGGCGACCTAGCTGGGCTCCGAGCGCCACATCCGTGGCCCCGCCCTCGACCTTGGCTTGGTCCTGCCGCACAGTGCACATAGCAGAACTGCAGAACAAAGCAGCATGCACCTTGTCCCTTACATCAGGTGGAAGGAGCCGTTGTCCAGATCTCTCGCATGGCCTCGGCCTCGTTGGTTGGGTGCCATGCAGCTGAGTAGCTGAGCCAACCCTGGGAGCAAAGCAGCAACCCGGCTGTCAGAGCAGGCTCCCAACGCTCATTTCACAGTCGAGGTCGAGGCTGTGCGCGCTACCGGCCCCGAATACGCAGCACCTGCTGGGGTCCGATTGCAATCAGGGCTCTGCTGTCGACATTGACAAATGGTGTGAGTTTGTGTTTCGAGCAGGTGTCTCCAGGCAGGTGTTTGAGTTCAGAGCTTGGGCTATGGGGCAATGCCATCACTACGTCACGACAGTGTGTTCGATACCTTGCAGGCTTTTCTGGCAGCAGAAAACAGAGCGGCAGGACGGAGTTCCAACAGTACATGTGACACAATGGGAAACATGGCTATAGCTATGCTGTTGTATGTGTACATTATCTACTTCTGCCGTTTCATTTGTTTCAAGTTTCATTTAGCATCACATCTCGGGGTTCTCAGCCAGGTTGTCAAGTTTCCACACTGTCGACAAAGCGTAGACCCACTCATGATGGAACTCCCGTCGACTCCACCTGCATGTTTGACTTGACAGCAGCACTTCCCAGAGTCAGCACCGAAATCATGAGCCTTCACAGCAGACGCCCTGTCCAGGCTAGGTGGATGAATCCAAGCCAAGCATTGAAGCGAATGAGAGTGTTCACGGCGGTGCCATCCGCCATTCACTTCACCTGCACATCACAGACACTCAGGCGGCCCATGTTGACCAGCTGTGCCAAAGCAGGGGTCTTGGCTTTCTTTTGGCCCAGCGGTTCAGCGGGACGCTTCTCAAGCTTTTCTGGCAGCGCAGACACGAGGGGCGAGTAGCCCCTGCAGGATGCATCTCATCTGCAGGGGAACACTCCCGAACATAATTGAGTCTGAGTTGACCGTCTCAGGTGTAACGACAGTCACGGAGCACTCCTTGCTTATGCGTTCTTCCCTACTCTGGACAACGGTTAGGCCCGAATATGTACGCCATCACGGGATCATGGACAGAAAACGGATGGCACGACTTGGAAAAGTGAATGCTCGTCTTTCTTTGTGTCTTGTTTGAGGTCTGCAGCGAGAGCTGTCCCATCAGCTCTCGAACTGGTTCAATGCCTTCGCCACTCAAAAGTATGGCCTGGCACTTGGCACCAGGAGACCGTCTTAGGCCGATTGGGCCGGGCGAAGACTCAGAGCTCATGCAAAGCCTGCATCGACTGAGATGGCCGCGTTCCGCCTCGTCTTACGAGCCTCGCCGCCGAGCCCAGACTTGCCTGCTTTCAGCTGCGGGCCATCGGGGCGGCCAATGTCACATGTGCTCTGACTTCCCTTCTGAAAGACACAAGCGGTGTATCAAGCAGTGCAGAAGACAAGTGGGCAAGCGATAGGTTTCAATACACGTGAAGGCGCCTGTAAACATGTTGAAGTGACATCCTGATGTTAGAATAGCATGATGTACTACAAACATAGACAGGCACGCAATGCCCTGCGGCATCTGCATTGTAAGTGCACATTCACGTACGATTAAAAAGTGTCTGAGCGAACCAGTGAGCGAGGGCACTGGAGCTTGAGAACCATCGAACAACCGGGCGCGTGAGAGTGAGCAAGAGCCTGAGAGCCCGCTTGCCGCAATGAGCCGCCTTTTGTATTTGCTGGCTGGGGTCGTGGCGGCCAGCATGTTCTGCATTTCGAAGGCATGGATGGACATCCAATTTGGGAGGCTCTTACAGATTCTTCTTTCCCCTGAAAGTCGCCTGCAAGATGGAGAACAAATCCATGCAACATCGTGGGGCAAGTCGGAGGTTGGTCCTTCTGCGGGATCCTCGCGACATTGCGGATGCGCCCTACGGTGTTGGGAGATGCCTTGCCTGGTGCCATGCCACAGCCGCCTTAGGCCTTCACACCCACCGCCCCCTTTACCTCGCACTCCCAACACCGCCAAGGGCGCAAGGCACTGGAAAGGTGAACATATGTTGGTTGCGTTCCAGCAAGCCAGGTTCCAAGGGGTTGTTGATTAGCTGCTTGGTCCATGGTCCACGACCAAACTCGCCAGTGTACCAGAGGACTTGCGCCACTGCAAGAACCCTCAGTACGCTGGCGAGTTTGGTCGTTGTGATGCGAGATACTTTCAGCCCAGGTCAAGTTAGTGTGTTTGTTCGGTGTGCCATTCACAGGGGAGTTTCTTGTGCGAACCAGACGCTTGGAACAACTGTCGCATTCGAAGCCGGCTTGAGCCCAGGGAAAAGAAGGGCTTGCGTGCCCTCTGGCTGTTGCGGAATTACATGGCAGCGGAGCCTCGGTGACGACCGCGGTGTCCTCAGCCAGTTCGGTGGGACCAGGCGACGGCCTGGTGAGCTCGAGGAGCCCCTTCTCCTCCTTTACACGTTTCTCCGGACCAAGGAGAAGAACTTTTCGGAACTTCGTCAACCACGAGTACTTTTACAAGTTCGGTGGCCTGTGGAAGGTTGCGGGGCTCCTTGTCGGAGTTTTGGCACCTGACGTGTGCGTCAGGAGATCTTGAAACTCAGTGGCCTGAGCGACTTTTACTTTGGCAGAGGAGCAGCGAGCTTCTTGAAGATTCCAATGATTCCAGGAGTTTCCTGGTCGGGACACCTTTCTGTCTGAGGAAGTGTGACCAGTTTTGGGAGAGATGGCTACGGGATCAGCTGAAGCTGGCGAGACGACCGAGCCCGGACGCAGGTCTCCACCACCAGCACCTTCTTCGCCGATACGGCCTCGGTCTCCTCGGAAGACCCCTCCATATGGCGATGGCTTGGACGGGAGCTCAGGTGGTGCTGGCGGGGCGCCCGGAGGGCGCAAGTACGTGGACGACCGGATGGATGCCGCGCCGGTGTGGGATGGCGAGATGCCAGAAACCAAGTACCGGGAGCATGCCCGGAACCTCCACTTGTAGTTGGTGGAAGCTGTGGAACGACTTCCGGGATCCTTAATCGGGAAGGGAATAATAGACGGCATACCGTTCGGGAGCAGGCTTGCAGCTTTGCTTGCTCACTTGAGTGTCGAGGACATCACGGCAGACCGCGGCTATGAGAAGATTGTCAAGCTGATCGAGGAGGCTCATGATTATCTTCGGGACGCCAAACTTGAGCAGGCGTTCGAGATGGCGATTTTCCGAGGACGACGCCGGGCCGATCAGTTGCTGAGTGGCTTTGTTGCGACGAAGAAGGCCTCGATTGGTGAGCTGAAGAGGCAAGGAGTTGACCTGTTGGGGGCAGGAAGCCGTCTGTTGCCGCATTTGATTTTGAAGCAGGGGAACTTCGCTGAGGATCAGAAACAACGGGTCAAGGTGCTCACGGACGGCTCCATCGATCGACTTTCCTAAGGTGGAGCAGGCTATCCGGAAATTGTTCGGAGACACGATGGACGACCCGGCGATGATGTCACACCCCAAGGCACGATCCTTTTGGCAAGAGGAGGAAGATGATAAATATGATGATGGTGGCCCTGGCTACGACCAGGTCTTCTACGAGGACGAGGCGTACGAGGACGAGTCCGACTTGTTCGAGGACGTTCTTGAGGCTGACGAGAGCGGCTCTGTCTACATGTGCTTGGACGAGCCGCTGCCGAGCATGATGGAGGAGGACAAGGACCTCCAGGACGCCGGTGACCTCCCCTCGCAACGGCAGCAGCGGCCAAGGTCGCCAATTGCTGGAGCGACAACGCCGAAGATGTCGGCAAGCCACTTCTTTATGAGTGACCCGATGAGGACCGCCACGACCGAGCGAGGGACCTTCCTGAGCGGCACGGTGGTAGGGTGTTCAGAGTTCACCGAGGGCCAACTGTGCGTAGGCCCGGCGTGAAAGGTGTCACTTGGAGCCTGAGGAGCTCTACCGACCCGACTGCCTTTCGATGTCTGAGAAATACACGTCCGAGGTGTTCTTGAGTTACATGTTTGCTAGACCAAAGCATGACATGAACCTTCAGAAAAACCACCACTTGAGAGTGCAGATTACTGATGAGATCGGGGGGAACTGTTCGTGGAGTGTGTGGGTCGGAGCAGGTCACGAAGATAGCGTACATACCGGTCGGGATTGCAGGCGCCCCAGGAATCCTTCGTGTTCAGGTTGTTCCTGGGACGATTCCATGTTTGGTTCCAGTTTACCTCCTCACTGATGCAGGGGCCGTGATAGACATGCCAGGATCCAGAGTGCATTTCACCAACATCAGTGCAGTTCAAACTATGAAGCGTCGGTCCGCCGGAGACATGGAGGTGAGTCTGTGCGAGTTTGATGTGAAGTGGGAAATCCCAGCAACATATGGCTTCGTGAGGAGTGAGATTTGGGGTACCCCTTTCCGCCCTACTTCGCTTTCGCTTTCGATTTTTGATGGAGCGGGACANNGGACAAGCTGCCGCTGTACCTCCGGCGATGGCGGCGCTGCGTCCTGCGATTCTTCTTTAGCTGCTCAATCAGGCCTCTTCGGCACTTCTGCAGATTATCTCGCAGCCACAGCTGCGACGTTGCGACGTGCGTTAAGCTGGCAGCCAGGCGGGAGGTATTGGAGCGTAAGGCTTTGATCCTTCAACGAGAAGAACAGGCGCTCCTGGCCGCAACGCCCTTGGACCGACCACCTCCCCGAGTGATGCTTCCCGAGGACGACCACGCGGGGCAGCAACGACCCAAGGTCGAGCATCGTGGCCGGTCCAAGTTTCTTTGTCCAGTGCTACGGGCTACGGCAATGCGCCAGCACCTCGAAACAAAGCATGGGGCGAATTCGGAATGGAGCTGGGTGAAGTGTACCAAGTGCCACCTGACAGAGCAGTACCGAAGATGACCTGACGAGATGCGAGTGGAAGGGGGTGATCGACACACACACACA